TGCATCCTTTACAAGTATTGCAACCTTTTCTCTTTTGAGATTCAGTAGAAAGTGCTTGACATAGTAAAATTTCTCTCAGCACTTCATACTGTGAGTCACTTTGAAGTGTGGTGACTGTTATATCTGCAAACGTGACAGCTCATCTGCACCAGCAACATTCCCTGCACAGCCATGAGACGAAGGAGAAAAATAGGTCTGCTTTTGATGAGTTTGGATGAGGAAGACATCAACCAGAAATACAGGATAATTCTCCAGTCTTCTATAAAAGAATACAATGCAATCTTTAATATTCACTTCAGTCACCAATACAAGGAGATGGAAGCTCAATTCATCATTACCCCAAAGAATGATGCAGTGCTCCAGCCATATATCATTGGTATGTCAGCCTAGAGAAACTCATCTGCTGATAAGGGGCAAGAACCTAAATAGCTTATTCGCATGTCACGTATGAATAAACGTTGTGGTTCAAAAATTAAAGGGAACAAAAGAAAATCCTTCCATTTGGTACAGTAGCTTATCACGTTGGGAGAACATCTCAAAACGCTTCACAGGATTTAATGTGAAATGGAATGTCTCTGTATTTGGAGGCGAACACGGCAGCACAATTGCACCCAGCAATGTCCCCCAAACAGCCACGAAATGCTTGACCAATTTTTATTTGGGGAATAATTGGCCAGGACACTGGGAGAAATTCCCTTCTCTTTTTGAATATTGCTATGAGGTCTTTAACATCCACATGAACAAGCCGACAGGACCTCGGCATCTCATCTGAAGGATGGCACCTCCGACAATGCAATATACCTCCCCGCACCCAGCATTGCATTAGAGTGTCAGCTCAGACTATGTGAGTTGAAGTCCGGATGTGGGACCTGAACCCATAACCTTCTGACTCAGAGGTGAGAGTGCCACCACTGAGCCAAGCTAACACGTTTGGATTGCTATGGAATTCATTCTCCACCATAATGGTAAGTGACTGGGGGATGAGCATCAATTTGCAATTACTTCTCGCGGTGACTCAATTAGGCCTGGTCATGAGGAGATGAAGTTTATCCAATATAAATGAATATGCTGCTTCAATATGAAACATTTAGTGAGTTACGAACTCATACAGTGGAGACATACACGTGAAGCATTATTAGTTTCTTAATCCCATAAGAAACATGGTATAGCTATGTTACACATTGGTCTAATGGTGAGGGAACATAGATATTTATCACAATGATCTAAACGGTGAGTCTATTCACAATCCATTCTAGTCTCCGAGATGCTATCCTGCATGAAGGGTGCTTACACATTGTAAATGCAAGTCGTTGTTGTTAACTTTGTCTTTGTATGGTTTTGGAGTTTGCAAAGACTCAGAATGCTGGAGCTATCCTAGATGAAATTGAAAACAATAATTCTGAACAGACATCCTTCTGAATTGTATTTATTTAGCCAGGATGTCTTTTGAGCTCAATTATCATTCTTTGTCAGAACCCAGCACTACATTGATGCAATAAATGGAATAAACCCATTTGCGTATTCCTGATAATAATCATGCACTTTCTGAACTTTGTTTCTGTAGCAGATACCTGTTCAACAGTTATTCACAAGTAACTACATGATGCTCAACTCAATTTTGTGATTCACAATAGAGTACAAGTGGGGGATTATACTGAAGCAATAAACTTGTTGATTTCAGCCACGTTCAAAAGAAATGCTAGAAATCATTGCAGGCGCAAATCAATGCAACATATCACAGTATCTCCCTGCCAGAATAAAGATGCTCCTTCAAATAGGTAATTATAATGAATGTGTCCAGAAAAATAATATAAGAATTGTGCTGGAAATGCAAAAGAAAAATGTTTTTCAGCAGCCCGTTCTCACTGAACCTTTAAACATATGTCTTTAGCTCCCTCACACTCCAGTGGGTAAAGGTACAGCTTGACACAAAGCTGGCCATACGATTACAGGTTCAAGTCTTCGTCTGCTCCAATCTTTGCGCAGTGCTGGGGGAGCGCTAATTTGTTGAAGGTGCGTCCTTCAGATGAGATTCTAACCTAATCTTATAATAATATAATATTCCTTGCATTTGATACAGCTTAATATCTGCATTCTTACCCGCACCAAACTCCGCTCCCCGATTATCCCAGTCCTTGCCAGACTGCACTGGCTGCCTGTCCCAGAGATAATTGACTTCAAGATCCTCACTCTTGTCTTCAAATCCCTTGACTCCTTTGCAACCCCTACTCTCTGACCTCCTCTCTCCTCACAACAGTGCCCGTTGCCTTCGCTCCACCGGGTCTGGCCTCCTCCTTGTCCCCCGAATCCTCCGCTCCACCCTCGGCGGCCGTGCCTTCAGCCACTATGCCCCGAGCCTCTTCTCTCCCTATTTTCAGGTCTTGGCTGAAGACCTTTCTTATCGACCGTGCCTTTGGTCACCTTCTTTCCCCTCCCCCTGGCTCGGCCCCGGGATCCGTTACTGTGAAGCGCTGAGACGCTATATAAATCCAAGTTGTTGTCGTTGTTAGCCCATCTTTGAGACATCTCAAAGCGCTTTGCAGAATATATTGTAAAGTGAATTGACTATATATGCGGACGTGTTGCTTAAATTATACTTAAATCATGTGAATTAGTTATAATAGTATTGGACATAAAATTTCTTTGAAAATGATGTTTATTTTAATAATGAACATTAAAGACGATTATTAAAGCCAAACTATTTGCCTCAGAAAATTACATAGAAGTCATATCAAATACAAGGAATATTATTATATTATTATTGGTACACCAACAATACACCAGTGCTTTGGGACGTCCTCCCGATGTGAAAGGCGCTCTATAAATGTAATTTTGTTGTTGTTGTACGCCAAAACCAATGTAGCCATTTATCCTGTTACTATAACTGATAAGTTTGCCGTTCAAGCTTACCAACAGAGTGAAATCTTAAAGATAGCCTGCAAAGATAGCCTGCAAACATTGCTGTGCGCAATTGGCTGCCGCGTTCGCCCACAAATATACAGTCAATTCACTTTACAGTGTTCTGTGAAGCTCTTTGGGACGTCCTCCCGACGTGAAAAGCACTATATCAAATGCAAGGATTATTATTATTATTATTAGAATGCCAGCTTCTCTCTGCGGATTCCACAAAGTTTTAATATTCTTGTAAAGTTTGCAATGGATACAGGGAAACTTCTTTACAGCGCGCCTGACTGCTTCCAATGTTATATACCAACCTTCCCTCTATCATACCAATCTTCCCTCTCCCTCCATTCAGTGGGGAATGGCTTGCTCCATGTCCCCTACCTTACCAATGGAAATCGTGCCTTCAGCTTTTCTGTCCCCACCCTCTGGAACTCTATCCCCGAATCCTTCTATCTCGCCCCTTCCCTCCTTCAAGGCCAGTCTCAAGACCTTTTGTTTTGATTGTACCTTCGGCCACACTCCCATCTCCACCTCCCCTAACCTGCACCCCTCTGAATTCCACTCCCAGCTTGGGTGCAAACCCTTAACTGCCCAGCGCCTTGGGACATCCTTCCAATGTGAAAGGGACTATCTCCATGTAATTTGTTATTGCTGTTTATTGTTATATAGCTCCCTTCATTGGGACGTCTTGCAATGCTTGCAGTGTTTCACCGTGATATAAGCAAAATTTTAATAAATGGCCAATTACCACCGTGTCAAATCACTTCTGACATTACTTTATGCACGTCGTGAGCATACGTACTATGTGCAGTGTGCATCGCTAGTGTCGATTCCTGTGCTATATTCACAGAATGAATGGTAACTGTTTGCTGCCAAACATGCAGCATAAATACACATTAAATATATGCTCCAGTTCCACAAATGTTACAATTATTTTTTCACTTAAAAAAAGTACCACCTTTCCTCATGGGAGCACAGATGGTTTTATTTATTGTAGTTTTCTGTCAAAATAATTAATAATAAAATAATTCTTGATTTGATGTATCACATTGTTGAGGCATCACAAAGTGCTTCACAGGATATAACGTACAGTGACCTGAATGTTTTCATCATCTTCCCTCCGTGCCCCAGATCAAGTGCCCAGTCAGATGTGTGAAGCGTTTGGAGACAGCTTCCCGATGTGAAAAGCGCAATAAAAATGTAAATTGTTGTTGATAACTGAGTCTTCCCATCCCTGGTAACATCTGTGTAAATCTGCGCAATACTCTTTCGAATGCTACAATACCCTTCCTGTAATATGGCGACTGGACCCGCAATAGAAATGTGGTTTACAACAGGGCTTTATATAAATTTAGAATGACTTCCCTACTTTCATACTCTATTCCTTTGGACATATGCTATCTGCATTCATCATGTCCTTGACCACCTTTGCTGCTACTGTTCAGTTTCTTCTTCTGTAAGGATTACTGTTTTTTTCTATTATCTTCATACCTGCTTTGCCCTGCAGTAGTCCTTATTCACCCAAAGTGCTCCATATTGATCTGAGGGATATCTTGATAATTGATACCTAAATGTTCATCCCTTGAGTACTTCATGGCAACTGTTAATGCTTTCAACTATTTTCCTGTTTGGATTATTCCTCCCACCCACCCTCCCCCCCAACTGCTATATCCCTGCATAAGCTTAATAAATATTGGGGGCAAGAAGAGGGGAAATGCCTCTTTAAACTGGCACTAAAAGACGCTAAAATCAGAAAATGAGAAACTGCAGCCTCCTATTGGGATCCTTTAAATAATGGCTGGCCTCTGCCACAATCCTTTTCAACAGATGTTTTCAGCTCAGAAATGTAGCTTTGCTATCCCTTGTATCAAGGCACATACCCATGTATGAGTCAGTTTAAAAGTCGGGGGAACAGATGGGAGGTTGTGGTTAAAAAATATTCCTTTTTACTGCGACCCACACTGCAGACAGAACAGAACCATCCTTATGCAAATAAGAATGATTTTGATTAAATGCATTAGTATTCATTAATTAACTGCTTCAAGCTTTTTAAACTGAGCTGTTTTTAAATGTTAAGTATTTCTCTGCTCCTGCAGATCTGGAAGATGATGTTTCGCTTTCACTACCAAATCTTAAATGGATGCAAATCTGAATTGAGAAAAGTACTTTTACCTCAACAAACCTGTTTGCCTGCACAGACCATGTACAATTTGCCATCTGACCAATTGATTGAATCTCCGAGTGATGCAACCACACGTAAGGACCCAAAGAAGCACAGCTCTGTGAAATGTCGTCTAACTCCTTGAATTAATAAATCAAGCAAAACTCCAGAGTATTAATTTCATTTTACAGTTCATACTCTTCAACTCCAACCAATTGTGCTCCACAGATGACTCATGCATGGTTCCAACCACAAAGCATTTAATCACCTAGTTCTGTCCTTATGCCATCAACCTTAAATTCCATTCTTAATCAGATATTAATCTGACTCTTATTTAAAAAAGACAAGCTAGGGTTCTTCATTCTTGAAAGGAGATGTCTCAGAGGGGACCTTATAGAGTTATACAATAGTTTAAGTGGAGTTAGGAAGTGGGGTCCTTACTCCCTCCCAAACCCTCTATTTGCTTCCCTTCCCTCTCGTGTTTATCTAGCTTGGTCTTGAATGCATCTATGCTATCTGATTCAACTACTGCTCAGGCAGAATTTCACAATCTCAGTGGCGAACAGGAGGGTCTTTAGGCATGCCTTGAAGGAGGCAAGGGAGGGAGCGAAGCAAAGGGAATGTGGCATGGAGTTCTAGAGGGTTGGAACAGAGAGCCTCAAGGCTCGATTGCCAATGGTGGGGTGGGCCGGGGTCATGGAGCAGCTCGGAGCCTACTAAGCAGAGGGAACAGACAGGTTGATAAGGGGTTAGCAAGTGGGAGAGGTAGGAGGGGCAGATGCCATGGAGGGCTTTGAAGGCGAGGACGAGAATTTGTCACTCTGTGTGTGAAGTAGTTCCTCTTAAATTTGCTCTTCGATCCCCTAGCCCCTATCTTATACTTGGATTTCCTGGAAGAATCTTAAACAATGCTCTTCAGATGAAAGGGCAATAAAATCAGCCGAACATTTAGACAACAAATGGGAGTTTCTCTTGCTGGGTCTAAGATACTGTGACAGTAGCATCTGTTCTGGAAAAACTAAAATAGTCTTGCAATTTTTAACACACACTTTAAAGAATGTACTGAAGATTGCATCATGTGACGTGATAACTGTCACATCGCAGAAAATGCCGATCTATTGACCATCAAAAGAGGTGTGATCTCCTCCTTCTCATCCCCCCATTTCCACTCACTTTGTCACGATGTTTGGGCCACTTACAGCTTTCAGTGGTTTTGTAAACTCAGGCAGAAACCTATTCATTCATATGCTGATACCAATTTAGCATGTTGCAATTTTCACCATAATGTGAAGTTAATCTAATTGTTGGCTTTGTTTTGAATATTTAATGGTAATTTTAGTCAAAGAATTTGAAGAATTGCAGCTGTAATGCATATTCTTTAGCCCTACCTGTCAAGACCTGTCATTACACTTATTTATAAAGCCGCAGCTTTCACATGTTTTATATTTAAATTTTAATGCTACATTTTCACCATCTAGTTTTCGGAAACAATACAGCTGAGAACACTGGTCGATGGGAAAGAAATATTCAGATTCAAATTCCCTTTTATCAATTGCAGGAAAGATATGTAAATGATATCAGACTGGTTTGTGAAAGACACTACAGCAAATGTAAGCATTATTATTTTATTACTATAATATTATTATTTGTAGGCAACCATGGCAACCAATTTGCTCAAAGCAATACCCGCAAAAAAGTGAATGACTAATTTCATTTGGGGGGATTGTTGGCCAGGATATCTGGAGAAAGTCCCTTCTTTTCCAATAATGCCAAGGGATCTTCCATATTTACCTGAACCGGCAAATACATTGTCACGACACTTCACAGTAAAATCCTGTGAAGAACTTTGAGACATTTCAACAACTTGATTAGGTGTGATATCAAATGCAAGGATTATCATTGTTAATAATAATAACTTCCTAGCAACCAGATAAGTGGCTATGTGAATAATTTGGGGAGAAAAAATAGCAATGAAGAGGATCTGTGATATTAAAAAGTGGGCCAACAAAAATGCAATGGACTCTAATATAAAGAAACCATTTGACCTTTTAAAGGGATTAAAGACCTGGAGAGGGTTCATAGAAAAGCAAACAGGATGATTCTAGAACATTTTGCTCCAAATTATCAGGAGAGAAAATAAGGAGTTGAAATGGTAACCGCTAGGAAATAAAAAGAGAACATAATCAGGAATTAAGGTGGCTTAAGTTATGTAGCACTAAGGAAGTCACGTAGACCTGAGCAATATGACTCAGACAATGAGACCAATGCATGGATTTGAAATTCTAAGATCTCAAGAAGACAAGATGAGTGATCAACCCATAGACCTTCCCCCACCCACCCCCCCAGAAAGCACCCAAAACCACATATGTATATATGCCAAATAAAAGTTGAGCATCAATTATTAATAACTTGGGGTTAATTAATTCCTCAGAACGATCTGTATAAGTATCTATTCTAAAACAGTATTAAATGATACAAGGCTATTTGTGATCAGAAAAGATGAAGACTTTTGTTTTCTGTGTCACTGATGTTGCCAACACGGCTGAATGTTGCCTTCATTGGAAAGAAGGTCAGAGTTCAATAATAGACCTATGAATGGAGGAATATTCGAAGTTTTGATTTGTTTATCTTTGAGATCAGGCAATATCTCCACAGTACTTCTCTCCTTAAGGTAAGCTATGGCAGCCAATTTGCGCACAGCAATGTCCCACAAACAGAATGATCAATGTTATTTTATCTGGGGATTATTGCTAAGGACACTGTGGAAAATTATTTTCTCTTTTCAAATAGTGCACGGGATCTGTAAATGTTCCCTTGAAGAGGCAGAGCAGACCTTTGTTTCAAGTCTCATCTGAAGGACAAGACCACCGACACTACAATGTTTGCTCAGCACTGTATTGGAAAGTCAGCCAAAATTATAAACTAAAAGTCCTGATATGGGGCACAAATATCTACCTCGGAGGTGAGAATGCTGCCATCTGAGATGACACCTTAAATAACATATTAGTGACACAGGAGAAAGGGTGTTAATTCAAATCAAGTCTGAGGAGATTTTGCTGGCCTCCTGCTGTTTGCTAACATCCTTTTATTAACTGAAGTTAGATTTGCACTGCCCAATGCTTAGAATTTCAAGTGTGAGTTAATTTGAATTGCTCATCTTTAACACAATATCCCATATTTATTAGCAAGCCCACCCAGTTTACTTATATTGCTACTTGTGTGAAAGGTTTACATCCATCAGTGGGCAGCCGCTAATACATTAGCGGAGATCTGTGGTTAAAGAGCATCCTGTTTAATTTAATGCCAGTAACATAACCTTTCAATGATTAAGTCCTTGGGGGGCTTTTTCACTAACTGTAAAAGGGGAACTAGAGAGGTGTGACACTGCATCTCTGCTTTGCACAGCCTGTCTCCCAAAATTTCTAATAACAGCCAACTGTACTCAGCAAAGTATCTGCAGACAGCTCTTTGAAACACGCAGGAACAGAGAAACCTATTAACTGAACAGAATTTGCCAGAAGAAAACATGCAGACACAATATCAGACTGCAGCATTTAATTAGTCAAGACTCCAGAAATGATTATTGCACAGCACTGCAAACTGAAACAAATTTGGTTGCAGATAACATTTGATGATATGTACAAAGGTGTGCCCAAATCACCATAGAAACAGCAGAAGAAATGGTGGCATAGTATCAGGGGCATTTCTGCAGACATATCTATTGAGAATTATTTTTATTCTCCACTCACTTGGTTTGATTTTAATTTCATTCATGGCAGGATTATATGGCTGCTTACGATGATTTATACAATGGAATCATTTATTGCAGAAAGTCTTTATGAACACGCTGGAAATATTACTACATTAAAGAGCTAAAGTTATTGTCCGCTGTTACACACAGCATTTTTAAAAAATGATTTCAGAATAGGTTGCTGAACTGTGCTAAGATTTAACATTTAGCTGGTACAGAACATAAAAAGGATATTAATGGTTGCCGTGATAGCTGCTGTAGAGCTTCAGTCCAACAACCATCTTCTGTGGTGCAGCCAAGGTGTTCAACCAATACTTAAAAGATGGGAAAAGGAATACAGTGGAGCTTTATTGAAACACAAGGTTTCGGATCCATAAAATCACAATCTGTATGAAAATGAAGTGTGATAGCAGGTTTTACTGTAAATGAGCACGATTGACTCACTTCCTGCATGCTGGTTGATTTCCTCCCCTAAACGAAAACTGGTTGACTTTCGTTTATTGGATCACCGTCTGCATCACTTCCTGGTTTCTGCGCATGAGCAATGCAGAAAATGACATTGTCGTTGGCAAATCAAAATGGCCTTTCAGACCATCAGATCTTTTCCAGCTTTGTTTCCTATTTTCCGGATGTATAGCAAAGCAGGAAGTGAGGTTGGAGACCATTTGGTGACCTTAGCGCAAAAAGCCAACGAGTGCAATGGAAGCTGGCCGACTGGCTTCACACATTCACAGTAAACAATGTCCACAGTGCAACCACATTATAAGCAAATGTAAGCTTAAGTGAAGCACTTTATAACAGGGCTGTACTATAATATCCTCAACTGGACAAGTCTCCAAAAACACTTTGTTTTTATTTTCAAAATATGGGGGCAGGGGCTGGGGGAAAATTGCATCATGTTATCACTAACTATAATTACTATATTGATCAAAAGCTGCCAAGAGCTAACACTGGTATTGGGGTGTATTATTCCCCCAACTCAGAAATAAGTATTTACTTTTCTTTATTCCATTTATTCCTTAATATCACTAGTAATATTAGTACATGCTGCATTGCCCCTCTACCTAGATAGATTATGTACCAGAGGAAATGCTCAGTTTGCATCCTTCCTTCCTCTGGTTATTATTCGTATTAATAAATGTTCTAATGCAATAGAGATTATGACAAATAAGCACACCAGAAGATGGGAAAATCTCACCTATTAAAATAGTGGGACTGATTGGTGTGGTTCATCACATCACAGAAGTGTACTTTGGCTTCATTCCATCCAGATGTGAATACATGGAGTGCTGCACAACAGTACACAGACTATCTGCATCTGAGCTTTCATGCAGAATTAAAGTCAGGCTGTGATGTTGATGAAAAGATTTTGTTATACATGGTTACCAGATTTGTGATTGTTCCCAAGCAGTGGCCGGT